GCTGCTCAGCTCGGGCTGACTCGAACCACTGTTGCTCAGAGCTCAAACTCTTGAGCGAGCTCTTAACCAACTGAGCCACTCAGCCGGCCCTTATCAGTAAGGGTTTTTAATTACAGAACTAATGACGGGGTCTAAGGTCCACCCTGAAATGATTTATCCGGTGAGCACATTTTCCTCTGTCCCAGTCTGTCAGGATGCTTTCGCAAACATTTTTCCAATTATATGTACCACATTCTGAGGGAACAGCCCTCTTCCTCTGCATTTTGGCGGGAGCGATGCCTCCGTCTCTTAATAAAAAGCTTTATTGGCACTGTTGAGCCATCTGCCACTGGGGGTTTCACGTAAGTAGTTAATTAGAGCTCTTACCATGAGCTGTTACAGCATTTCTGCTCACTGGTTTTATGCAAACAGTTTTCAGACAAGGACCAGCAGCCCTCTGGAAGCAAGGGAGAAGACGATGACGCAGAGGCTGCCTTGAAGAAAGAAGTGGGTGACATTAAGGCATCCACGGAGATGAGGCTGAGAAGATTTCAGTCGGTGGAGAGTGGAGTGAATAATGTGGTCTTCATCAGGACACTCGGGATAGGTGCGTCGGACCCATTCGCCTCCTCAGAATACTGCCCACACAATGGCCTCATGGTTAGGGCTCAGCTAATCATTTGATGCCGTCCTCCTTACGCTGTTAGCGCATGCAGGAGAGAGGTGGGGAGGGGGTGGTGGACATAGCATTGGCTCAGGAGTGGACACTGGGCTTGGCCATTTTCTTTGTATGTAACTTGAGGTAAAACAGGAGTACATGTTCTGTCTAAAACGAGCAGCTGCTACTTAGCTACAGCCAACTTGGAGTGGCGTCAGGCTTTTGAGGATATAGTCCTGGTAGGGCCAGACCTTGGGATTTTTCAAAAGAAGTTCGAAATCTGGATAAATTTCTAGATTTTTAAATGCAGTTAGCTCATTTAAAAGTATCAAAAACACCGAGCAGCCCAAACAGACTTGTGGGTGAGCAGGACATGGCCTGAGGACTTGCGGCTCGTGGGTCTGGAGCTTCTCCCTGGGGTGAGAGCTAGGCTTCTGTCCAGACTTAGCCGACGGATTGAGTACAGCTGTTTTAAGTGACGTGCAGGTTTTTGTCGTGCTTTTGCAAAAGAGTGTCAACTGTTTGATGTTTATTACTTTGATAGTACCTATTGTTTATGACAATAACAGTATGGTTTTATCATTGGATAAATCAGACATCACAAAAATCTGTACTCCAATGTCTTCATGAACGGTTTTTGGTGGAAGCGGTAATAATGCTGAAGAGTTAAAATGTTAGATTCGGTGTGAATCCTTAGTAGGTGTGGAAGAGATTAGTAGGAAAACACGGTTGGCGAGACTTTAAAAATCCGTTTTGATAATGTGTTCTCTATTGTCAGCTTATGTCACTGCCAATGAAAATTCATTTTAGAGCGTTTGAAGTCTTTAAAATGTCTGAGAACTTATATTCTTATTTGTTGTGTGCGTTTTTTGGGTTTTTTTTCCTTTTTCTTTTAGAACCTGAGAAATTGGTGCACCATATTCTCCAGGATATGCACAAAACCAAGAAGAAGAAAACTCGGGTTATTCTGCGAATGTTACCCATCTTAGGCACGTGCAAAGCTTTCATAGAAGATATGAAAAAATATGCAGAGACTTTTCTGGAACCTTGGTTTAAAACTCCAAATAAAGGGACGTTTCAGATTGTGTACAAATCTCGAAATAACAGTAATATTCATAGAGATGAGGTTATCAAGGTATTTGCAGGTATGTGTCTCTTGGTGATTTGACATTGCTGTGGAATGGTAAATACTTGTTCTTGGTTTTAAGAATTTTTAAAACAGATTTAAGGCTTATATTTTTTAGTATAGAGCAAGTGTATTAAAATGTCCTTAAAATATCAAACCTAACTGATTTCAATTTGTTGGATATGAGATTTTCTGGTGGTTAGATATTTAGGCCTTTCTAAGATCAAGATTGAAGTTTCTTGGGAAAAGAAAGTACGCGTATGAAATGGCTCAGGATTTCATTTGCATTTATGTTTTGAAAGAGTTTAGGTTGAAGTCTGTGTAGAAGAGTGGACCTGTCTGTATTTTGCTTTAACAAGTCTAAACGGAAGGAGAGGAAGGATAGTTTGTGTGTCCGTCAAGCTTCTCGATTTCCTTCTCAGCCTGTGTTTCCCTATTGTTTTTGTTCCAGGAATAGTAGGAAGTCTCAATTCGGAAAACAAAGTGGATCTCACCAATCCACAGTACACAGTCGTGGTGGAAGTCATTAAAGCCGTCTGCTGCCTGAGTGTTGTGAAAGATTACATGTTGTTCAGAAAATACAACCTCCAGGAGGTGGTGAAGACTGCTAAGGAGCCGCCGCAGCCTCCCCCAGAGCAGGCAGCGCAGGCAGCAGATGGGAAAGAAGCTAAAGTGGGGTCTGCCAATGGGTCACATCAAGATGACCCAACCGATGGCAAAAGTACCCAGCAGGTGGAACCAGAGAATAGTGCGGAGCTGGGCCAGACACAGCCAGCACCTGCCACACCGGAGGCCAACGAGGGAGGAGCTGACCCTGAACCTGCAGGTCAAGTCACAGAAGGCTCTGAGTCCAATGCAAATGACCTCTCATAGGAACAAAAGTCATTTGGTGTTGGAGGTGAGTTTCTCCACTGGGATTCTGTGTGATGTTGCTGGGATTCCAAATAAAATTATGACTGAAAATACTGGTTTTGAACTTCTCTCACTGCATAAAAACTGTGCTCACAGTGGCTGGGCAGCCCTGTGACCAGTTTTGTTGGAGACCTTTCCAGCCTGGCCTGGCGGTGTGCAGTTGGCACACACTGCGCTGCGTCTGGTTGAGCCAGGAGGAGCTGTGTGTGGCTAATTGGTGAACACTTACCCAGGGGGGTGTGGGGTGTGACGTTGGCCTCTCCCTTGTGACAGCCTTCCCCAGCCTTTCCTGCACTGCCAACTGCCGGATGGGGGCGAGCGAGCTCTGCGAAATGTAAACTTAGAGGGGAATTTTCATTCTAAGGAAGGGATTTTTATGTGTCGTAACTCAGTTGTCCCCTGCCACTTTGTTGTCAACATTGCAAAAACGTGGGCCATAATAGGTTAGAGGTAAATTGTTTTGTGAAGTTTTTGTACTTTCTGTGATTTCTTGTTTAGCTCTTAGGCCTATGATTATATTTTATTAACATTCGTTTGTTACAAATCTGACGGTCCAGTGCTGTGATTTTTGGAGGCAAGGTGTGAGATAGAAGAGGACCACGCGAGGCGTAGAACCACAGACATTTCTGACAAGGTTGGTGATGGAGAATTACAGCCTTCGAGTTACTCAGTGTATAAATGCAACAAGGGACACAAAAATTCTTTACAGTGCAAGCTATTTTGCAGTGGATTTATATTCACTCATAACCAAGGTTGTCCTAGTCCACTTTACATCATCTGGAATGCAATTTACAAACTTGGCATTTGCTGCAGCTGTGGTAACTATAAATCACAGCCATTTGATAAGTAAAAATGTCGATTGTTTTAAATGGTTTTTGGACTATCAAAACAGTAAAGCTTTTGATCAAAAGATCGCATTCAGAGAAAAGGTTTAGGAAGCAAATTATCAGTAGCAGAGCTTACTCCAGAAAAGAATACTTCACAAAGTTGGTAAGACTAATAATACCAACATTAAAATGCTAGCGCAGGCAGTACAAGAAATGGAAAAGAGTTTGCTTCAGTTTAATAAATTGACATGTCATATGATGCTAAAGAAGTTTTGTGTAATTAATTGAAAAGCAGCTGCTTCTCTCGGGTGGCAAGTTGACAGATGTCACGAATGTTTGACATAGTGTGGCATTTGCAAGATTTGTACATGATGATGGAATGAACTCAAGAAAAGCTTTCTGCTGCTAGAAACCTCCCCGAACAAAGGCCAATATAAATTTCATGGGTCTTCATATCTGAAAATCAAAGGCTGGTCATCTGTACTCCTGGTGCCTCATCAATGGTTGGCTTCCTGACAAAATCTGCCTCGTTTTAATAAAAGAAAATCCTGATGTTGATGTTGTAGCACACTGCTTTCTTCACAGAGAGGCGCTGATGTAAAAAAAAAACCTTCTGAATGAAATGAAGTTCTGGGTAATGCTACAAAAATGGTTAACTTAAAAAAAAAAAACGGTTAACTTCGTGAAAGAGCCATTTATGCAAGAATATTCAAAACCAAAACCTGAACAAAGAGCGCATAACTCGACATACAGAAACCCAGTGGCTTATCAGGAAGAGTTCTCTGCAGGGAATTTGTGTTGAAGGGGGGGAATGGCCAGAGTACTTAACACGCTAGGCCCGCTCGCTGGATGCTCTGAAGATGAATGGCTACAGAAACTAGTTACTTAGCACACATTTTTCATTGAGTCAACAGTGAATGAGTTTCTGCACATCCTGGGGAAAAGGTTTTTTCTTAAAAATCACAAGATTCTTAGATTAAAAAGATGGATGGACTCTTAATTACATTGCCCAGGGAACTCTTGAAATGTTTAAACAGCCACTTGGGCTTGAGAATGAAGAAAGGTGGTGAAAAGTCTCAGGCGACTAAAACTCCTTGAGCTGCAAAACCAAGTGAAAGCGCATTTCCCTCCTTTTCCTAACGTGTGTGTCTGACTGGGAGAGGAAACTCTTCCTTAAATCTTCAGCCTGAGGTTCCAGATTTCTGTGGAATAAGAGGTGCAGGCCTCATACTCAGATACCATGAGGGCTTCCTTAATTTGAAAGTGTTTTCAAGGGTTCTTCCAGGGCAAAACGACTGAAAGAAGCTGGAAGAGCAAAGGGTTGCAAAGAGTGGGTTGCAAAGAGCAGATTGCGAGTCTTTTAAATGTGAAGTCTTCCAGCATGAATGGCTCTGTTTTGATGGCTGGTGGAGGTGGGGATATATTTTTCTCCTCCTAGCTAAGCCGTCCCACTTGGCCAACAGGGATGGAAGGATTTGTGGGGGGTGGGTGGGGGTGGGGGACAAAGAATAGATGGTCTTGCTAATGCAGACGAGGTTGGAGCTTCCTTACATATCTTTCCACATTTAAAATATTAACTCAATAGGCTGAAGTCATCTTGAAAGGATGGTAGGAGCATTGTAAGTGTCATTTGGGGGGAACGCGGAGGACAGGATTTTGGTGCCTTCGGACTTTCCAAGACCAAGATTTATTTCTACAATTCAAGACTTGGTGACTCTGGGAATAAAATTGGCCGTATGCTTACAGAACCTACAGCTCTGTGGAACTGAGTTTTACTTTGAGTTTCCTTTTACTTTGTGAAAGCTGCACTGTCCAGGAAGTTTGGGTTTAGTCGTTTCTTTTATCTCCTTTTGTATTTATTTGTCTTTGGCAAAAGCTGTTCTGCCCTAGCTCTAATGTACTGTATTTTGTTGGAAACTGAACTCATTCATTGAAAGATTTGTTTTCAGGTTTACCAACTGTTTATTTTCACTGACATTTGAGTTGTTTTTTTTTTGTTTGTTTGTTTTTTAATGACGATTCCAGATTCTTGGGTTAGAATCAAATGTTTTTTTCTTTTTAATTTTTAGTTTAAAAAATTATGCCTGTTGTAAAAAGTCCACCTCAGCGTTCTTATCTAATAAACTTGTTTTGCTCTATGGAGGAAAGAGTGTTAAACTTGGTATTTTAAAACATGTTTCTCTAAGGTTAACCATGATTTCTAAATGGTATTTTTACTTGTATTTTGCTTTAGTATGGCCAAATAATTGAGCTCGTTTTTCATAGTTCCTGATTTTTTTCAGAAAACAAAATAAATTTGTTCCATAAAAATTGGTGTCCTTTACTTTTTCATTGTTTCTGCCTCTTAGTAAATCTGTTGATTTATAGTAAACATATATAATAAAATGTGTTTATATGTTAGATTAATAAAAGTCATTATTACATTGTCCTAACAAGTCATTATTACATTGTCCTAAAAAGTAAAGATACAAAACATGTATTAATTGCTCTTGAGTAATTACTCTCAAGTGATCCAAGCTTTAGATATTTTACAGTGAATTTACTTCAAAATGAGTTATAGTAATACAGTACATAATTAAATTTACTGGCTTTTAAATTATAGCTCTCATTTTAACATTAATATTTTAATCCACCTTAAAGAATCAGTAACTTAAAAACGTTAAGCACAATTCTGTTTTCAACATTTCTCTTAGAATAGTTCTGATCTTTATTTTTAATTAATCAGGCACAAAATAAATTCATTGTCCACTATGCATTTCCAAGCAATCATTTGACCCCTGCAGTTTTAAACACTACAAATCATCATTTCGTCAGTTTGGTCATCGACTATTTTCTTCCCAAATAATTTTTAGATTTTAATTTATTTTTTGACTTAATTACAAAGCACAAACTCAGTTGACTTTTCAGCCAGGAAAAATTTTAAGACAGTGATCACTGAATTATCCAAGCCAGGACTAAGAAAGTGACCCTGTAACTTCATGCCTCAGTTTCCTGTCAGGCTATATGCGTCCCCATTCATGATCTCTCAAGTTGTTGCGTCTGATTTTCCCCGTGATTGTCTTTGGGAGTTCTTGAACAAATTCCACCTAATTAACAAAAACATATGAGACACTTGCTTTCGTTTTGACCATCCCAACTGTCTGTACAATAAGAGCTTTCATGAAACGCCGGCCTTGAGTTTCAGAGTCTGGGGGTTGTCTTAAGCCTAATAAGCTCATTGAATTTTTTTGGACACCAGAAATTTAACATTTGTATAGTAAAGGGGACAGTGGTGCCACCAGGGATTTTTAGTGCCAATTCACAAATACTTTGCTGAAAGAATGTAATAATCCCCGCATTGTGTTCTACCAGTTCAAACTAAACCTAGGTCTCTTGCCCCCCGGGGAAGAGGCCACACCTAAATGCAGAGAAACTTAATACAGTGCTTGGGTTTCAAGTTTTTAAGAGCTGGGTCCTAGTGGTTCTAAGAGAGAATTTTTTAGAGTTAATTTGGAGTATACACAATTTTCTCCTTATGTTCTGTCTTGATCAGAGCTTAACTGTATATTAAAATATCCTCAAAACAATTCTGAAAATCAACTGGTCACTGGTGTAGTGAATTTAATGGAGAAAATGGAACTAGCTCTCAGGTTGAAATTAACTACCTTTTGGCTGAAATGATGCCCATTGAAATGGAATGCTCATGTCATTATCAACCAAGAGGATTCTAAGAGAACATGGCAGTGCCATTTCTGTGTCTTACATAGAGTTATTCTTCAATTCTTTGAAGAAGAAGGTCTCGGGGAAGATGCCACAGTTTGGACAATATTTTCTTCCTGAGTCTTAAGTGTGGTCACTTGATAACTTCAGGGCATGTGCTTTGAGTTTATAAAGGTGGTATGGACCAAGAGTCCTCTGGGTAGGTGAGTCAAGTACTGTCTTTAAAAATAGCCTGCCACCATTTTTTTCCCCCTCGTGGAATGGGACTGACTAGTCCTACAAGGATAATTAGTTACTCAATATTACAGAGTTGATCAAAACCTCTAGTTTATCAAGCGTTTGTAGTGTCCTAAGTTTTTTTAAAGCAAGATTCTTAGGGCTAACCAAGTTGAAATAGGTGTCTTCTACTATAATGAGCTACCCTAAAGTCAAAAGCTAATAAAATCTAGATCCTTAGTAGCTTAGATCCTCGTTTGGTAACATACACTTAACTTTTGGGCAAAATACTTGCCTTTCTTGGATATTTGTAAGGTGCAGTTGATTTTTTCACGTGATCCTGAAGTTCAAGAGTTAGTTTCTCTAGGTCAGCTGACTTAAAGGGTGCAGATAAGATGACAAAAGCTTTCACTACCTGTGGGAGAAAAGTCAATTTATATGATATATCTGTTTGTTTTTCAGGCACATCAGCGGTTTGGAACCAATGCCAGCACAGGTACTTAACTATTTGTAAACAGCAGCTAGAGTGACGGATGCCAATGCCAGAGATAAGCTTTGAACCAAACTTGGATGCAAGTGAGGTTTTGAGATCTAATGGTTTGAGATAAGTGGTTTCTGAGTTGAGGAGCACAGTGGTTCAGTAATGCTGGAGGTTGAGTTTTATTTACATGTCACATGTATTTCACGTTGCAATCTGACTAGTCGTATCCTTTATACGGGCAGTCCTTGACTTACAGATGACCCCTTACCCCATCAGACCCATACTGTTAGAAGCATGTAGTAGGGACAAGTGGAGGTTTTGGAGAAGATGTGGTTGGAAAGGGGCTTGGGGGGAGGGAGGAACTGTGAAGACTGGGAGACAGAATCTCAGGAACCCATCTACCTCTCAACAGCCGTTTTTGCCTGGCATACTTGCTTCTCTTTGTTATTTAAAACCCACCAATTAGATAATTACTGAGGTTAGTATAGTTTAAATGATTGATTATTCATAGGTGGATTCTCATTGGTGTTTACTTCCAACTTCGAGCTGAAATCAGTTCTATTGAGAGAATGAGAACTTGGTGGCAGGAGAAAAACATTTTGGGGAATGGAATCCATTGAGTGTGGAGGCTGCACGGGAAGTATAAGCAGGGGACCCATAGTGTCCCTGCAGAGGGTCGCTGGTATGTGGGGGCAGCGGGGTAGAGACCGAGGTAGGAGGGACTGACAGATGAATTGTTTTTGAAATTTTGCCTCTTACTGAGTCTGCAGGAAACTTCCACAAGGAAGGGAACCTTCTCCCTTCCTTACTTCTCCCTAGAGCTAAGGCCATTGCTGTCATTCCCGACTTGCCTTTCACTGGGTCCTAAGGAGGCTGTGGGACTTGTTTGGGAACCTGGCTACCATCTCCTATTTGCATTGTTTCTGTGACAAACTGTATTCTGAGCTCCGTGACGATCGTACAAACAGTAAATCCACAGCGTTTTGCGTAGGCAGTATCAGTCGCCCCTTTTTAGTAACAGTGCCCTGATTTTCCTGTGGAGGATGATGCTAACGTCTCTCTGGTGTGGGTGACACTAACTCCAACCGCTAGTGGCTGGCATAGGATGCAGGTCTGGCCAGTCAGCGTGGACCATTCCCCGGGCCACGTTGCTTAGTGATATGGTCTAAGCGAGACAGATGCCAGTCTAGGAGTTGCTTGAAACTTGGAAAGGGAGCCAGGGTGGTTAAGCTGTGGGCAGCTGGAGTCGGCTGCTGTCACATAGGAGGAACCTGCCCAGGTGGAGTAACATAAAGGAGAGCAGTGCCAAGAGCTGGGGAAACGAACTTCGCAGGGTCCCCTGGATGTAGCCGGATCTGAAGACCTCACTTATGCGTGAGCCAATATATCCCTCCCCCTTTTTCTGTTTTTGAGTTGAACTTTTGTCACTTGCCACCAAGAGAACCCTAACACATTCCGTTTGGGACACGATTCATTTGTCAGGTTGATTGCCTAGGGTCCACTTTTGCCACATGTGTGCCTCATAGTAAGACTCACATGACAGCCCCTGGGTCACTCATTCGAGTGGTCAGGTGGACGGACCTTGAGCACATGAAGCTGGTACTTGAATTGGTGACATTCACCCTACCTCTCCTCTGACTGGATCGGGGCTGCTGACCACGGCCGACTCCACAACTGCTGGGTGCTCGATTAGTGCACTCTCCACTTCAAATGGCCCGATACGGTATCTGTGGGAGGGCGAGAGGGCCCGATCACCCCACCACCCACGGAAGCGCTCTCCCCGGCAAGCTGTTCCTCTTCACCATGGAAAGGTACAAACCCGGAGGATATAATGACATCATCAGCTCTGCCGACAAACCAGAAATGTCCATCACTGTCCATCATTCCTCTGTCTCCAGTGATAAAGAAATTCCCTCGAATCGTGGCGGAGGTTTTCTCTGGATTGTCCTAGGAATCCGAGAGGACGTTGGGGATCGATTTGTTGGGTCAGAAGAGGAAAAGGGGTGTGGCACCCGGGAAGGGACTAGTACCCTGCACATTCTATGGGGCTGTTGGAAAAGTCATGATGCAGTTTTGCAATGAAAAACAGAAAAAATACATCATGACTTAATTTTTAATTTTTTAAAAAGGTTCCAAGTACAGAACAACAGGGCCAAGAGTGTCATGCAGAGTAAACCTCTTTTTCACCTCTTTATAATAACCCTTTACAACACCCACTCCCCGGCGGCGGCCTGTCCAGCTGTCCTTTCTGAGAACAAATGCTGCAACTGGGCTCTTACACATCGAACTTCATCTTTACACAACTCATAGGCGAGCCAAGGACCCTCTCCCCCTTTTACAGTTGATGAACTAGGCTGGGATTTTGTGACTTGCCCAGGGTTACAGAGCAAAACATGGTGGATATGAACTTTGGACCCACGTCGCCGGGTACCCCCTTTGCTGTGAAAGAGCGAGTCGCGGGTTCTATGTTTTCATACCACATATTCCGAGAAAAAACAGAAGGGCCGGGTAGAGTTGAGTCTGATGGCAATGTCTCCTTCCTCACCGGGTGGTAGGATGTTGCCGTTTTCATCTATAATCTAGAATGAAAGAAGCAAGTTAGGTTCTTCAAGTTTTCTTTTTTTCACAAAGTGAAAGTGGATTAGGAACAGTTGTGTAACGAATAGCAGAAAACTGTAAAACCACTCTGTCTTCTTTATTGAACCCGTCAGGTATTACCCACCTGGACGTCATAGGGTGAGATTCCTTTCCCCATCGAGCCTGGTTTAATTTTTTGTCCTTTTTCATTGGCACAAATGATTCCCTATTGGGAGGACATGCTTGATATAAGTAGGTAAAAATTCATTATCAGTGGCTATGTATGTCGTGGAACTTATAACTCCGTTTTGACTGATTTTTCCAGTACACAAGCTCATACGCTGAAATATTTTAGACCAGTGGTTTCTAATTCAGTCGGTCTGGGTAGGGGTCTGAGGATGCATATTTCTACCAAGTTCCCACGTGCTGCTGGTCCTGCTGGTTGGAGGACCAAGCTTTGAAAACCACCCCTTTAGGCTAAGGGTATGGTGAAGCGCCTTGGGATCCATGGCACACAGGGTCTTCGCAGTGCAGTGCAAAGGTTGAGCTGCACGGCTCTGAACCTCTGCAACCCCTGACACCTTTGCAGCTTCCCCTGTGTGGGGTGGAAACAGGAAAACTAAGGAAAACTCCTAATTCCTCTTCAGCCAAACCTAATGAGGGTAATGCAGGGTTTTGGTAACCACCGGCAAAGTAGGGTGTCCGGGAAGCTCCCTAAAATTTCAGGGCACGATGGGGACACTTCAGGGGCTTTCCTGACAGTCCTGGGGTTGAGAGGTGCCCGACATGCTAAGCTTCCGCTTTGCCCACCAAACATACCACCTCCGTCTGCCCGTAGCCCTCATGCAGCTGCAGCCCCGTTTGCTTCTCCCACTGTTCCAGCACCTCGGGGTTGAGCGGCTCCCCTCCCGTCAAGCAGTGCCGCAGCTTCTGGAATTTATATCTGGAGAGACAGTCGCATGGGGCCTTGGGGGTCAGAAACCTGAGTGGCTTTCATTACAAGGCAATTGGGATGTCCCAGTGACAAGCAAACGAGCAAGTCTCAGGAAGGCCTGTTCAAGGAATATTTGTTGAGCGCCGACTATGTTAGCACATGGGACGTGTTGGTAACTAAACAGTTTCCTGACAGAGCTTACATTCTAGCAGATTACTAAAGAGGAGAAAATGTGAATGATAGTAAGCCCTTCCTCTGAGCACTTAGCAGTGACGTAACAGCTGCCGTTAGTTGAGCACCTACTGTTTTGAAAGGGCTTCAGAAGCGATCTCACAGTCCTCGTGGCCCATTTTACAGGCGAGGGAACTGCAGCTGAGAGAAGTCCGAGAGCTTGCCCAGGGCTCCCCAGATAATACAGTGCTCTGTACTTACCACTTGTCAGGGTCTCACTGAGCAGACATTCCCACCACAGACAGCCCCGGACAAAGATTCCTCTCTTATGGGTGGAGTTAAGGGAGGCGTAGCAGGACCAGCGTGTCTGAGATCACACTATTGGGAAGTAGCAGAGCCACCGCCTTCCCACCTAGCCCCCCACACACACACACACACACAGCCATGTGGCTTTGAAGCTCAAGCTTTCAAGGCCTGGCCTTACCACTCAGCTGCCCACAGGACCCCCGTGAGAAAGCCTGGCACAGCCCAATCCTGACACAGTGAGGCCTGAAGTGGGCAGGAGGGTGTGGCAGGACATGACTTGGGCCTACTCAAAATAGCCCTTGAATAGCCCTTGAATCTCTCTTGAAGGCCGTGGGGGAGCTGAGACCGGCTAGGATGAGAAGATTCTATCTGCTGCATTCTGTCTCCCTCCTGGGTGTCCACGCTTTGGGGGGACAGGACGGGTGAGCCTGCACACTGAAATTGTTTCTCTCTTCCTTTCTTCATGTGTCGAACTCATATCACTTAAATAAATATACATTGCAGCTCCACTGGGTGTTCAGGTGCTTTGGCCAAATCGAATCTAACCTTCAAGCCCTGAGACTTCACTACCCTCTTTTCAAGGCAGTGTACGTGGAGTTATGGTTGACTTTTGGGGGGGATTCTGAGACTGTAGGGCTCTGGTGGTCCCTGGAGATCATTCAGTTGCCCCTAGAGGCTATCCCTGTTCTTCTTAAACTGGGGAGCAGTTGTGTCCCACCAGGAGACTGGAGGCAACATCTGGAGACATTTTTGATCGCCCCAACTTGTGGAGATGGAGGTGCTCCTGGCACCTGCTCAGCATCCTACAATGCACCCGACAGCCCCCCACGACACACAGCTCTCTGGCCCGATGATAGCCTTTGTGTGCGGTTCGAGTGGAGATGTCTGCCCGAGTACCTCCGGAGGTCTTTCTGTACAAGCATCCGGTACACAGTGGGAGCGCTGCACATGGTTGTGATGGGGTAACGGGTAAGCGTCTGGAGGACGGAGGGAGACACAGATGTCAGAAGTGGTTAACTGAAGGCCACCGCCACAGCCGATGTCTACCCCCCCCCCCATTCTCTTTGATTTTAACAGTTGCACATCTCATAGGAGTGAGAAAGCAAATACTTTATTAGTGGTCGCTAGTGACTGTTGGGAATTTTCAATTATATATATATATATATATATATATATATATATATATATATATATATGTTACAGTGATAGACATACACAGTCAAACTCAACAAAAAGTGAATTGGCGAATTTGAGAACAACCCTACAGTATGAACTGGTTTATTTGACCTCTGGGGCGGCACATGACCTTGCATGGAATTTGGAAGTTCTGGCTGCTGGATGGGACTGACTCTGGCCCTACACGCTAACCTGCCAGCACCTTTCCAACCCCGTTTGTGGGAAAGGCTTCAGTCCCCTTGAGTGGGTTGATGAAATGTGTACGTGAGGCATTTTTCAGGTCTTAATTGTTTAGGGTTTGCTGGGCTCATGATAGATACCTCGAGTTCCTTGAAGTTAAAGGCATCTTAAATCTGGAGAAATACTAATACTTCAGAGATCCTTTTTCTCGAGAGGTTCCCTAAGCATTGGAGAGAAGACTCTCATGATGGACATCAAGGACGTCTGGACTGTCATAGGTCAAGAATAACGTTTGAGGGCCAGCCAAGTGGCTCAGTTGGTTAAGAGTTAGCTTAAGAGCACGAGCTCTGAGCAACAGGGCCGCCAGTTCGATTCCCACATGGGCCAGTGACACTGTGCCCGAGCTGAGCTGCCGCTGAGCTGCCAACAGGTGGCAGGATGGCTCAGCTGGTGAGAACATGTGCTCCTAACAACAAGACTGCCTGTTCGATGGTGGGCTACGCCCGCCCGCCACTAAGACTGAACTCAGCACCTTGAGCTGAGCTGCTGCCCGGATGGCACAGTGGATAGAGCGTGTGCTCTTAACAACAAGGCTGTTGGTTTGACTCCCATGTGGGATGGTGTCTATGCCCACCCACAACTAAGATTGTAACACAGCAACTTGAGCTTAGAGGCCACGAGCTGCCAATGGGCAGCCAGATGGCGACTGGCGCCCTCCACAACTAAGATTGAAGAACAGCAACTTAGCTGGTCCCCTTCCCAATTCCCCAATTTTGAAAAAAAAAAAAAAAAAAAGAATAACGTTTGATCTGTAAGTGGGCATTTCTGTTGTGTGTACATATTCCCTAGGTTCCAATGGTTCTTAAGAAGCATCGTGTATGGAACTAGGAACAGTGTAAACCCAGTGTCTTCATAGCACTTAAAATACACACGTTATCTTTGTAAAATAAGAATGTTCTTATTTTAGTAGTCTTATTTAATATTACATTAAATAGGATGTATTTATAACATGACAATAGCTCATTATATTAATATGTCAACTAACAATTGATGTATTGATATATTAGCATTAATAGATAATAAATAAGAGTATTAAAATAAGAATATAAAATATGTAAATGTTATAAAATATTTAATAGTTTATAAAAAAAGACTATTCTTAGTTGACAAATGTAGACTTCGGGGCACTTTGTCAACAACATGTGGTAGAGATCTGTTCTGATATCACCCTCCTCTTCTGTTACGATGTCAGGCCATTTCGTCAGGCCAGTTAGCAAAACAGCAGGGTGGGGACAGCTGGCGTTTATTCACACACAGGTGTGGTGTGTATTTAACAGCATGCATTTTGCTACATTAATTAATTTTTCAAGGTTAAAAAGAAAAATAATTGGCCTGGAGGCCATTTTTCTCAACACCGAAGAACCTGACAAGTCAACCGCGCTGTCTCTGGCTGAGAAGGAGGGCCGTGCCTGGTTCCAAGGACATGGTGTTCTGAGAATTAACAGTGAGAAGGAAGTGTGGGGTCTGGGGACAGTGGAAGGAGCTGCTCTCGGGGGGACCGAGGCGACCCCCACCTTCATTCTCCACCACACAGGGGTTCGGATTTACCAGCTGTCATCCTTGTTTCCCTGATCAGAAACCACAGATTTGTGCTGACTGGATACTTCTCATCTGTTATTTAGAATCAGACCCTTACACGGCCACAGACTTAGCGACGCTGTCAAATCCTGAACAATTGGAAGCACAAGAGTGAATTTTATGCCCAAGAGTGTGGTGGTGGTGGTGGTGGTGGTGGTGGTGGTGGTGGTGGTGGTGGGGTCTCCTTCCACTCTGTTAAATACATTCAAAAGCCAAGTGCCTGAAGACTTTGTGTCTTAAAAGGAAGGGTTTCCATAAGCCCAAGAGGCCCTGTACTCTGAGGAATTGTTTTTCCGCGGTTTTGGGGGCACCAAGAGGGAGATGCCGCTGAAGCCATGACTTACGTCTAGGAAGGTGTCAGCGTCAAACTGGATCATCTGATGCACAAAGACACAGGCTCCATGAATCCAGGAGGAAAACAGGCTCCCGATGGCGGCCTTGATCCAGCCGGTATCAGACATGTTCCAGACGACATCTGAGGACTTTAGATCCAGCCAATACCTAAATGATGGGGGAAAACACACAGACCAGAACACTGCGAAACAAAAACACCAGCAAAGCAAACAAACTGGTGGCTTTGGGGACTGGCCCGACCCTCGGTGGCTACAGAGCAAGGTCACAGGAAGCCCCGAGCCAAGACGAATGCCTCATCTTCCACTTTGGTGACTGGACTTCTTTGGACTCCTAGGTCATCCGGGAGTGCTGTGGCAGGCTGATTTTGGCATCATTCTCTGAGTTCGTCCATGGACACAACAAATATTTATTGAGCAAACATCATAAAGAAGGCTCTGTTCTACCTAGCACAGTGGGCAAGCTAGAACAGATATGTTCCCTAATGTGAGGAAGAGAGATGGCAAATGAGCGCATTACAAACAAGCTTGCCAGTCAGGGTCATAATCTCACAGAGGATTTCTTTGAGAATCTCTTTGAGGATTCCTGGGAAGAAAAGAAAGGGGGTGTGGGACCATTTTAGGATATCCAGAAGGCTGTTCTGGGTGGGTGAATTTACCTGGCAGTGAGAACACGCAAGAATGCTTCTGGGGGGATTGACCCAAGGCCAACCCCCAAATTGTTGCCTGATCAGTGAGCGAGAGGCTGCCATTTATTTGGGCAGGGGCCTCAGGAGTTCTGTTTTGGGGGTGCCCCCTGGGGCTCATAGCCATCCCAGTAGAGGTGTCCATCAGGCAGTTGGATACCCATATTGGCAGCTCAGGGAAGAGCTTAGCAGAGAGGATTGTGCTCCCTACCTGCCACAGATGGTGTTCCCAATTGTGATGCTGCTCTGAGTGTGCTGGGCCATCTTCGGGGAGCCTGTGGTCCCACTGGTGAAATAAATGGCCATTGGCTCTTGGCTGCCTGTCTCCACGCAGCTGTGCTCTGCAGAGGCAGACCTGTAAAACACAGGCCCCAGGCTGGTGGCTGCAGGTGGCAGAGCAGCTTCACTCGGGTGCTGCTTTGGCTCTGCCCTCTATGCTCTCTTTTTTTTTTTTTTTTTAGCTGAGCCATCCTGCCACCTGTTGGCAGCTCAGCGGCAGCTCAGCTCGGGCTGGACTTGAACCGCTGTTGCTCAGAGCTCAAACTCTTGAGCGAGCTCTTAACCAACTGAGCCACTCAGCCGGCCCATATGCTCTCTTGATTCTAGAAGATAGTTAACAGAACAGAGCCTAATCCAAAGCCTCCCTGAGAGGGATTTCTCAGGGAATCTTAGAGGGACTTGGCAGTTCAGTGCTAAGATCTAATGGTGCGCTCTCTCTCCCTCTCTCTCTCTCTCTGTCTGTCTCTCTTTCTCTCTCTTTCTCTCTTTCTCCCTTCCTCCCTCCCCACCCCCTCCACCCCCCTATAGGTCACATAGATAGCCACTTTCAATAACAAAAGGATCTATATTTGTTTAGTTAAACAATTTTTCCCTAAGCACTTTTCTTAACCTATGAATTTTTTTAAAATCAGTATTGAATCTTTGTAAACTGTTAACTATTTCCGGAGTTTTTATGGTTTAAAGGAAGATCTTCTGGCATTTGAATCAAACTTTTGAATGCTTGTTCTTCAATGTCTTCAATATCCTGGGCAGACACAGCTAGTTGGTTCCCAAAGCCCTATCCCGTTCGTCTTCCTTGCACTCGTAAACGCTGATTTTCTTCGGGTATCAGGCAGCCAATAAGCTTCAGGGGAGGCTGTTCCTGTGTAACTCGGGGGGTGGGGTGGGGGGTGGAGAGACAGCCAGGAGGGAAGGGTCCTTTTTACTAGGAAAGAGAAACATCAGTCTGGCCCATCATTTGACCTTTTCTCCACCCTGTTATAAATATTCTGGCAAGTATTCATGGATCTCTATCCTTGGGAGGCAGGAGGGTGAGAGGCCTCAAAGTGGACTCCTGGAATAGGAGATAGACTCTAAAAGTGTGATTTGAGCCCTCATTCTTGCTGTGTGTCTGCTTTTCTGAAAGACTGGCCAACAGTTGGCAGTGACGACCTTCCTTTCCTTCGTTATTAGAGAAACAATCCCTGGCATCTTTGGAGTGTTGACACTCCAAAATGGTTGGTTTGAAGTGGGGATTCCCTTTATCTTGAAAAATGCCCTCCCAATGTGCAAATTTCAATTTGAAATTCATGGGAGTCTAAGTTCCTTTTTCTTTTGTCAGCTTTGTGGCACCTTTAAGGGTTCTTGGGGAATCGCCAGAGCGATGCCCAGCTGTTTATGATGGGGGTCTATGAAGTGGGGGTGCTTGCTGCCTAGCAGGTATGCAAGGCAACTGGATGGGGACGAGAAAAGAACTTCAAACTAAATGTGTTTTTTTGTTTTTTTTTTTTAAGCTGAGCCATCCTGCCACCTGTTGGCAGCTCAGCAGCTGCTCAGCTCGGGCCAGGAATCGAACCACTGTTGCTCAGAGCTTGAACTCTTGAGCGAGCTCTTAACCAACTGAGCCACTCGGCCGGCCCCTCTAAATGTGTTCTTTTATTCATCCTTTAACATGTTTATTTTTTATGCTGGGGTGCCAAAAAAATGTATACAAGTGGACACTTGGGTCAACATTGCTCAAGCAGTAGTTCGCCGTCATCCGAAGTGTCTGGACGTGGGTGGGAACCACTTTGAGCAGCTCTTGTCATTGCAGAAGTCAAACAGGACTTGTGTTCACCTTTTGTTATCGGTATATACTATTACAATTTTAATACAGTTTTCCTTTCTTAGATGTGTATACATTTTTTTGGTACCCTCTGTATTTGTGTAATCGCACAGTTGTGTAATTGCAATTTGTGTGATTAAGTCTTATAAATACTATAATATTTACGGAGGGATTAGTTTGCCAGGCGTTACGCTAAGCACTTCCCATGCTTCATTACATTTGATCCTTCTATCACCCCATGAGGTACAATAGATACTCTTATCCCCATTTTAAGGAGAAGATATAGAGTTTCAGAGATGTTACTGGACCTATCCAAAGTTACACAGTTTATAAAAGACACAAACAGGGTTCGCTGGCATGGCCCTTGGGAGAGAATTTTGGGGTAGGATTTGGTTGACATTAATGAGTAGGATAAAATTCCATTCCAACAAAGGAAACCGCTCTCTTAGTCAACAGGGTTTTCATGTCTTCTTTCTATAAATCGCTCTGGAAGAAATTTTTTTTTTTTTTAAGATTTTTTGTTGTTTTTGTTGGGGAATTGCGGGGATGGGAACAGTGCTGGGGAATTGGGGGAAGGGGAACAGACAAGTTACTATTCTTTTGTTCTTCAGTCTAGTTGAGGAGGACGTTGCTTCACTGGCCCAAGTTGGCACCATCATTGCGCTCTTCCCCGGGGAGGCAGATCAGTCGCTGGCTTCTGGATGGCCGCTCACTGCGGCTGCTGGCCGCTCACGCTGGCTGCTGGCTACACACGGTAGCCCATGGCAACCCACTGCCACAGGGGCTGCAGCCTACGCCGTCGCCGGCGACTCACGGCAGCCCAGCTCCAGGTTGAGCTGTTGTTCAGCATCTTAGCTGTAGAGGGCAGTGTCACTGGCCCTCATATGTGGGATCCGAACCGGGGCCCTCTGGCGTCCCAAGCCAGTTCTTAACCATCGCTCCACTCGGCTGGCCCAAGAATTTTTTTTCAAACGTAAGCTATTTAACAGCTGTTTGAAGGATATCATTCATTAACATTTTCCCCCCTTTTTCACAGTTTAAGAAGCACTTTCTCATGCATTAGCTCATTTTATGTTCAAATAACACTTGAGATATAATTGTCCCCATTTTACATATGAGGAAAACTGAGGTTAAGTCACCTCTTTTGTTCATCGAGTACATATTTCTTAAACACCAACTATATGGTGGGAACTGGGGAGAGAGTGATCAACCGGACCAACAGCCTCTGCCTTCCTGGAGCGTACTGTTGGACAGGCGTTGGCAGGCTCTCTCTGTAAAGGGCCAGAGAATAAATATCTTAGGTTTTGTGGGCCTCCTGGTCTCTGCTGTATCTACTCACCTCGGCTCCTGTAAGACGAAAGCAGCCACAGACAGTATGTAAGCACTAGGGTGAGACTGTGTTCCAAACTTTATTTACAAAAACAGGTGCCTTGCCATAATTGGCCCACGGGCCCTAATTTGCCCATCCCTACGTTACAGATGGAAAACAAACGACTGGACATGACATTCAGAGAGTGTCAAACGCTATGAAGAAAACAATAGGCGATGTGTTACAGTGGCTTGGAATCCTTCTCTAGTCTGATGTTCTGAGGACAGAACATTCGAGCTGACACCTGATAGGAAGGAGTCAGCTGTGGGGAGGACTGGGGGAGAAGGGCATTCCAGGCAGAGGAAACAGAAGGTGCAAAGGCCCTGAGGTAGTTTGAGGAATAAAAGGGTGGCCAGAGGGAGTCCAGGTAGGGGTTGTGGTGGGAAATGTGGTCCGTGGGTCATGCCAGGGCCAAGCCGGGCAGGGAGATAGTGGCCAAGTTGCCCTGTCATTAGGCGATTCTTTTCTGGGGAGGAGCCTGGCTTAGCCCACAGCAATGCTGAGTCCCTGGAGGCAAGGAGATCTGAGATGCAGCTGTGCGTTGCGGGGGTTAGTGTTAGCCCTGCAGATGAGGCAGGGGACAGACTCACCGACATAACTCGTGGAAGTTGAGCCACCCCTTCCGGCTTTGTGGAGACACCAGGAGTTTGGTCTTCAAGTGGGGACACTGGGACTCGATGGACTCCACCGCCGGGATCACCTCCTCACTGATCACAATGCCCTTGGCCTTGGAGGCTTGCAGCCGATAGAGGATGTCTTTCGCTGTCAGCTGGGTGGTTCCTGGCATGAACACAAGCCCTGGGAAGGAGAGCAGGCCCTGAGCTGGGCAGGTCTGTTGTCCACTAGGCAAGACTCTGAACACATGGGCTTCGTGCCTGGGTGGGGAGGGGCAGCAACTCAGCCTTCAGCTGCCTCTGCCTTGGTCCTCAGGGACCTGCCACAAGACCCGGATCACGGGGAGAGCCTTAGAGCACTGGCTTCAGTCTTGGTCCCTGGGTTGAAACCTGTCCTTCCAACTTATTGTAATAGCTTTGTGGCCTTGAGCGTGCTACCTGCTTTTTCTGTGCTTTCCATGCCTTACTGGCAAAATGGGGGAAATCATAGCATCTGGCACATGGTAGGCGTTGCGATGGTGGGCTCTTATACGTAACATTTTGTGGAATATTTTCATCATCATTATGTAACACACATAGCACCGTATAGTTTCTAACACATTTTTGTGAACATTTCTTTCAGTCCTTTGAATCACTGGTCTCCAAAGTGAGTTTTGCAAGGTAATTCACAGGAGATGAGCTAGCTCAAAATTTATTGAGCTATTAGAATTCTTTTTGTTTTTATCTAATTTTTGTGTATATTTTCTAGCATGCGCACTCTCTTAGTGCAGAGCTATACTATACTCTTACTTAGTATAAGTAACTGTACCCAGGTGGGAGGATGTGTGTCCCACATATTTTTTATTGATAGGTGGTGCAGCCAGAAAAGCCTGGTGACCACTGTTGGAAGCCACCACGGGGCTCCGTGTCGGTGCTGCCATTTGCTGAGCTACGAGACTGGGTCAGAACTGGCGAGGGGCAGAATCAGCCCTCAGGCCTGGGTCTTCCCTGTGGTCCGGCGCCCTTGAGGTGTGCCTGCATGCTTTGGCAAGCCTTAGTTTACCCCTCACCACTCTGCTTCAGAGTAGCCGCTCTTTATGAGAAGGCCAGATGTGGGAGAGTCCGCCGAAAGACCCAGTGTGCCACTGGGAAGGACGCAGAGCATGTTTAAAGCATTGTCACAGACGCCCATTCCCACTTATTGAGCACTTACTTTGTGCCTGGTGTCTCACCTGAAATTGATCCCAGGACACAGCTGACAACTAGCCCAAGGGTCACCAAGTCAATGAGTGGCAGAATCAGGATTCAAAGACACATACCTGAGACTCCTAAGACCTGGACCACATTTCGGGCTATTGAGGTCTTGGCGAGTTCCCTGAAACCAGCTAAGTAGGGAGATGTCAAGCTGAATTCCTAGGAAGGAGACTTTATTTATCGAATATATTTTAATAGCTCTTATCTGTCATCCCTTCTTGAGAAAATGTGTAAATATGTGATGCTAAGGAAATTCAGAAAACTTACCTTAGAGGGTCTCAGATGGCTCACTCAATACAGAAATACAAAATTATTTATTTTGCAAACCGCTTGTTCGTATCAGCTCAGTCATTGTTAGTTCTCTTGGCGGATTTTTGACCTGAGTGTGTTCAATGGGTAGATATCTTGTTGGGGGGGGGCAAGGGGAGGCTCTCTTCTAGTGGGTTTTAGACAGCATACACTTTACACCAAAAACAATGTTTCGCCATGTGGTAAAATGCAAGCATCTCAATATTCACTCCAAAGATTTAATAATTTTGAGTTAGAAAACGTAACCCTCAGCTGCTTGCTTAACATTTAATAGTTAATTAAATGCTGTTCACCATTCAGCCTGTGGGTTCATCTATAATCTTCACATTTCACAAATTGCACAAACCACGTCATGGAATATGAAATACATTTTTTTGTGTGACAAATAAACCACCCATCAACTCCTCCCAATCCACTGGTTTTACATTTGCAGGTTCCTTTTTATAGTGAATGCAAAACACATTTGATGTACTGCTGTTTGGATTTAATATTGGCAGTAAGAGCATTTTCAGTACCGTTATGAAATCCCTCATAATTAGCCTTTTAACATCCCAGCAAGTTGAAGCCTTGTAAGTTCAATTAGCAGTAAAGACACCTCCACTAGACTTTATTCTCAGGTAGGTTATAATGATTGAATCATCTCTAGCTAGTTTCCAGTTTTTTCTAGTCTTGGCCATATTGCAACGAACGCCTCTGTGTTCTATACCATAGTGTAGTCTTTGGTGTTCTTATTTGTTTTCAATTGGCTTATAAACATTTACGTTATGTTGTAGAGCAGGGGTCAGCAGGCTTTTTCTGTGTAAAGGGCCGGAAGTAAATCTCTTAGGCTTTGGGTCTCTGCTGCCGGGGCTCTTGTAAGATGAAAGCCGCCACGGACAGGACTTAAACGAGGGAGCGTTAAAGCCCTCAACCTTTGTCTACAAAAACCCCATAAGCCATGGTTTTTGCTGACCTCTGTCCTAGAGGGGAAAGCAACCCCATAGAATTTTACCTTGGGGTGCATTAATGAATTACCACTGTGGGAGAAAATGTCTCATTGAATACTTTCATCTTCTTGTCTGATAAGAGGCAGAGATTTCCCAGCTGGGATCCACAGCCATATTCTCACAAGTCCTTGCTTTCTAAAATGCCTTTTCTTTCCTTTTCTTTTCTTTTCTTGTCCCTTCCCTTCCCTTTTCTTTTCTTTTCTTTTTGTATTTTTCTATCAGGGAGAATCCAAATATATTCCGAGATGTAAATTCTGGATCTTCTGGATAAACACATCCTAACCCAGCACTGCTAAGAGGCGCTGGTACCTACATTTGCTTCTGTAGAGCTTTGCATTTCACTTCCAGCTGCATAGCTTTCCAGCTGTGTGACTTTGGGCAAGCCTCTTAACCTCTCTGAGCCTCAGTTTCCTCTCTTGCAAAATGGGCATCACAACAATGCCTACCTCTGAAGGCCGTTATTATTACATCACGATTGCTCTTAATTTCCACTCTTACTTTGCTGTCCTTTGTAAGCATGGCTTCTGTCAGAACAAACAATTGAGGGAAACCTCCCCGATCAGTCTCTCTGTCTCTGAAGGATTTAGAAAAGTTCAACATCAGCACTGACCTGTTCGTATACAAGCCACGCTGACGAGCCACCACTCTGGGATTCGAGGCAGAATGATGGCCACTCTGTCACCTCTCTTTAGGCCGCAGGGCTGGGTGAGCACATTGGCGGCCTTCCGGGACCAGGAACCCAGTTCTTCAAAGCTCCACTTCACCTCGTCCCCTGTGCCGCTCACCCACCACAGGGCTGGGATGGCTGGTCGCTCTCCTTTCTGGCCACAGGCACATGGGAAAGAGGACAAGGCTTATGTGACTGGTCACCAAGTAGATGGGACATCGATCGTTCCCTCCCCTTAGCTCTCCAGTTTGTCTTTAGGGGAGCTACAGTAAAACCTTGGATTGCGAGTAACGTGGTTATGTCCCGCAAGACAAGCAAACATATCTAATACACTTTAATGTGGTAAACGAGCAATGTCTTGCAATACGAGTAGTTTGTTTTCAGAACAAATTATGCTCGCAAACCAAGGTATTACTGTACTCCTACTGCCTACAGCTTTGGCGAGACAACCCATCAGGGTGGTCACCCGTGCCTGACCATTGGGTGGGCGTGTGACCCAAGTTGGGCCATTCAGATCTTCTCTCCCAGACACTCCAAGCATCCAGCTCCATTTTTCGAGCTCTCCCATATCCCTGCAATACATTTCTTTCTTAAATTAGACTTTGTTCCATCTGAATAACCCTAATGGATGTCCCAAGGTTGATTAGGAATGTGACCCCACAAGGCTCAGGTGTGGGTTTCATGAGTCTCAAAGAGAGCAGGGTGGAGGGCCATGCCGGGGTGGGCGGGAGTAGTGGCAGAGGCGGGGCTAGGCGTCAGCTTGATTGATTGATTTCTGGAGGGAACGTCTCACCCGTGATTCTACAAAACCAGACATCTGTGCTGCAAAACCTGTTTTCTACATTGCCTGGAAGAAGGAAATGACCCTCTGTTCCTCCCCCTGTCTAGAATGCACCTTCCCTGATTGTCAAGCACTTGAAAATCCAATTTCATTTCACTCTTGGTGAAGCCTTTCTTAGCCTCGTCTTCTCCTTGCTGACTTCCCTGGGTTCCTGCAGCGCTGCGCTTGTACTCCCGGTGACTCAATGACACCGGACTCTATTCCAGCCGCGTCCCTCTCCTATAGACGTGAGCTCTGTGAGATGAGGGGCTGGTCCAGGCACCTTCGGCGTTGGTGACCTTGGAGAAGTAGTCTAACTTCCGTGGGATTAAGTTCCTTATCTGCAACCCCCAGGGTGGCGATGGGGATTTGACAGAATAATATCAGTCAGTGTTTCTCACTCTCTGGTCGTTTGAGTATTGCTTATGTTTGCCACATCTGTGGACACCTGCACCATTGTCCTTTGTATTTTTCTTTACATCAGCTCGCTTTTACTTGTATAGATTTACTTAAGAAGGAAAATGCATTTAATCACCGCCGTAACTGGAAAATCAGTACCGCTTGCTAAAAACAAGGAATGAAAAATAAGCATATCACAAACAAAATATGCTCTTCAATTTTATCTAGAGATTATCAACTTCTGTTCAAAAAGGAGTTTAGCAGGTGACAGAGAGGTGTTAAAACACAATGGGTTTACAGGAGACTCCCCCCTCCCCCAACAGGAAGGCTCGGCTCAGCGTTATGCGTACTTGTATATCCAGGACCTGACCCCATCTCCTGAGACACAGCTGGCCGCACATCTTGGGCAACACTGATAGGTAAAGTGGGCAGGGACCTTGACCTGCGGCCTCACTGCAGACACTCTGTCAGGCTGGCTGCTTTATACCCCTCAACCTCTGATTCTCTCCTAATCACTCCAGCGTGGACTAGTCATAAAACCAAAGCTCAGATGACTGTTTTTTGGGTAATCCCGTGACCAGCCCGAACAAACCAGTGGAGGGCCAAGAATTGCTGCATGGGACTCTGAAAAGAATGAAGGAGAGAAAGCCTAACGATAAGAAACCATGGTGAAGGGGACCGAGGAGGCTCCGGAGGGACAGCCATGTGTGGTAGTTGAGGCCCGGAGATGTCCCCTGGGGAGAGAGGGCGATGGGAAAACAAACAAAGGAAATCAAGAAGGGTGGAGGAACTGAATTAAAAGTGACAAGCGGACCCCAGAACAAGGAAACGGAAGAGGCACCAAACCTCCAATGGGAACCCGTCATCTTATACCTTCTCCTTGTGGGACCACTGGTCCAGCACGTCTCCAGCAAAGTTGAAGTTCTTAGGCAAAGGCCTCTCGCAGTGGTTGATGGCTTCAAGGTCAGCGAGGGTCAGGGGTGCCCAGAGCTGGTGAGCTGTGTGCAAGTGCCAGCGGGGTGGTTGGGCGAGCCGCGTGAACCTCAGTGTCCGGCAATGGGAGAAAATCTTCATGGTTCCTGAAGGGACGTGTTTGCTGATACGGGTGTGTAAGTGCCACATGGCCTGTGGGGAGAGATGGGTGGACAGTGTTAGTCTCCCGATAATGCTCTGTGGTTAAGACTGAAAGTGGGCTTGTGGATGTGCACCCCTGGGAAGTTGGGGACACCTGAAAAAAACCCATCTTTCTTCAGAGCCACAGACCAGCCTCCTTGCCACTGGCCTCTCCCTCTTCATTCTGTCCGTGACCAGATTAACCTTAAAAAAACACACAAAAAACCTCCCCACAACTAAAAAGTTGTCAAGCCCCTGCCTTCTATCCCTACTATCTCCCCACCCAAACAAGAGTCTTCCCTGCCTGTATTGACATTCAAGGCCCTGTTCGGTCTGCCTTGTATCTGTTCTGTCTTTGCTAACAGCTCTCCTGGAATGTCCTCTTCCAGTAAAAGCAACCTGTGCGCTTCTCATGAGTGTGCATTTCCACCAGGAAGATTTACTCTGTCATTCCCCTTGCTTTGGGCTGCCCTGCCTCCCGCTCCGGGTCAGTCCTCCATGATCACTGGTGAGAAACCCTGATTGAGGTCCTGGCTCACCACTTTCTGGCTGTAGGACTTTGGGAAAATTATTCATCCCTCCAGCATCTCAATTTTCTCATTTGTAAAGTGGGGAAAAAAGAATCCCTCTCTCCCAGGTTATTATGACTGTTCCATGGACTGATGCACATGTCATGCTTAGCATGCAGAGAACCCCTTCAGAGTGTTAACTAATGCTGTTGTTCAAGTTAATTTCAGTAGTGTTCTCGTGGCGTGGTTTCATGAAAGGGTCCAGTATGAATCAGGACACCCGGACTTGACTCAGCTCTTTCTAAGCTCGCTCGGTGACATTGGTACAGTCCCTTTCCCTTACTGGGCTGCCATCTGGAGCCTAACTTTTTCTTTCTGATTCTGTGATTAGATATCTTCCTTTGAATTTGCATAATATGCATCTGTACTCCTTATGTGACAGCTGTCTATCTTATATTATTAATTTTTGTTTTTCACATGTGTGCCCTGTCTCGATCACCTACCTGGGTGCTGTGGGTAGGGCCTATGGACTGTATCCTCCACCTTAACATAACTCAGAGCTCTCCTCAGTAATAAAAGCTGGTGTTCATTACCTGCGTGTTGTGGACAAGGCACTTCCCACTCCTGATATCATTCCACTTGGGACAAGCCCTGTGGCTGGTGCTGTTATTACTTCCATTTTACAGACAGGGAAACTGAGGCCCTGGAGACTTCAGTAGGTTGCCCCAGGTATGTCCGCGCTCGCTTGCTCGCTCTCTCTCTCTCTCTCTCTCTCTCTCTCTCTCTCTCTCTCTCAACACCAAGAAAGTCTTTTACTGAAACTATAGAAACAATGGTTATAGTCCATAATATGAGCAAGAAGATACACCATGTGATACGTACTTCCAAAGTTAGGAACCATTTGCTTCCTTAAACCTTTTTCATATTTTCAGTTCATACGTGATGACCATTTTTACCACTGTGGGGGTTAAAAAAATGGTATATTTATCATCAGCTAGATGTGTTCACTGTGTGCTCTGTTATTTACATGCAAGGCCCCGGGGGACCGGAAGTGCAGTTGTCAGGCATTTTCATAAACGGGACAGCCATTGGTTTCTGCAGGATGAGGCGTCTTAACACAGGAGCAGCCAGGAGAAAACAGGAACCATCTTCACAGCCAACCGACGTTCCTCAGCTGCTGCATGACTGCACCTCCAACATCCCAGCCAATAATGAAATCGGAAGCCCTTCACCTCACTCCGCTCCAAGAAATGTGAAGAACAGGAACAACATGGCGCACGAAGGAAGCACGCCACCGGAGGCAAAGCTTAGAACAATAGAAAACGGGGCAAAATGTTGCAAAATCACCTTTTCAGCAGCCAGTTGTTTGTTCCAAGGACTGAGTCTTCCATGAGCTGAGTGTGTGGCCCTTTCCCCCAAGTCTTCTGTTGAGGTTGCTTTTGGACACGTGGTTTGCTTAAGAGGCACCTCGCTTTCCTCTTAGGGAGACTTAGGGGGACTCTCGGATGGCGGCCTGGCCTTGGAAGCCCTGCTGGACCTGGACCACGAGCGGGATCTGGAAACCGAGGCGGACTTGGACGTGGGCCGTCACGCGCATCTGGAGTTTCAGGTTGCCCGTGGCGCCGGGCCCTGCACCGGCTCCGACGGCAGGAAGGGCCGGTGCCCGCGGGGGCGCAGTGCCGGGCGGCTGAGGGGCGAGTCCGGGCGGTGCGTAGGCACCGACGCGCCCGTACGAGGGTGTCGGGCGAGGTGCGGGAGGTCAGGGTGTCCGCCTTGAGGGAGGTCATACCTCCCACGACCGTAAGTCTCCAGCGGGTCGGCCCGGCCTCGCCGCTGCCCCTGCGCGCCGAGAACCACCGTCCGGGGACGCCACGCGAGCGGATGGTCCCAGCGGCTGTCTGCGGCCCAGCAGCCACCGCCCGGGTCACCCAGCCCTTGGTCTTGCGGGCAGAGGCAAGGCTTGAACCTGGGGGGTCTGACTTCGGAGCCTGCCTGCTCAGCCTCTGCATCTCAGCCTCCTTCGTGCCGCCTTCGCTGACTGTTTCTCGTGGATGGCGAACCCCCACCCTTTGCGCCCGTCAGTCCTACTTAGTTGCTGTGCGCGGAGAGGGAAAATCTGCAGGTGCGTGGGCCTGGGCGTGGTGAGAACAGACAAACACAGGACCACGGGCTGCAGGGCGTCCCCAGCCCCGCGCCAAGCGCGCCTCGCTGCTCAGAATGACTTCTGGAGAAGAGAGAGGCCTATTCGGAGCCAATGCAAATTTACTGCGGCCCAGAAAGAGCGATTTTTGGCAAGACCCTTGGTTTTGAACTCCATCATGTCAAGATAAAAAGACGAGGGCTAGCTGGGAGAGTGGTGGAGACGTCACGAATGAGGAAGGGGGGAGGTGGACGGGAACGGAGACGGGGTCCTGCTCACGATTTAGCATGAGCGGAAAGGGAGACCTGAAAGCGAGACTTCCCCTCTTCCTTTGTCAGGTTGCTTAACATCTCCAAGTGTCACGTCATCCGTGCGGTGTGAGTAGTGAGAGCCCTTTCTTCATCAGCCAGACATGGGGTTTAAGTGGGTGCCTTAGCACAGGACCTGGGATGTGGTTGGGACTCAGTGGTCCTTGCACAGTCGGAATCACACCTCAGGGCTCTTCCTGGCAGAAGGCCTTAGCTGTTCTGGTACAAGCAACCTAGAAAAGCTCTTGGATCGGAGCCACTAGCGTCTTGTTGGCTTATCTTGTTTCTGCCTCTTTTGATGTTCTGTCACTGTGCTCCCAGCTCTTGGGACTGAACTGAGCCCTCCCCACCCCCATTAAAAAGAAAATACTTTTTAATGCAAATCACCTCTCCGTCTTCTCCTCCAAAGTGAAAAAGAATGATGTTTTTCATGAATTGTTCTTATTTCCCATAGCTCCATGGACAAATTTTCCATTTCTTAAATCATCAACTTAACATACCAATATATCTAAAACCTAATTTGACAAACAGATCGGATCTGAATATACATTTCAGCATCTCCCATGTTACGTGCATAAACAGAAAAATAGGTCTTGCCTACAAAAACACCATCCTTAGTAATAAAATACATATCAAGGTATCACAGAGCAGGATTTTTCAATTAAAATGTTTTGCCAGTAACTTACTTCTTTCCATCTCTTTGGTCAGCATTTGATTTAATTTTCTGAATAGATTTCTATGGATAGGCCATAAAGGGGATGACAAGACTCTGCAGAGCCTCACTCTTTTGCATTAACTAGCCATCTCCTGACTTGGGATTCTGTGGGTAGGTCATATGATTCCAGGGTCAAGTCTGAGGACCTCTGATGGTTTTAGGTCACGACATTATCTTTGTAGACATTCCTATGTAAAGGTGTTCAACAAACTATCTCCATGTGGTTTCTGTACAAGTGAAAGAGTTGATCTCTAAAGCCCTAGTGATTTCTGGAGTTCATATTAAGGGAAACTTGAACAGTGAAAAGATGTCTGAGCGTTCAGTGCTCAGCCTGGGGTGAAGTATCTCCCTGCGCCCTCTCGTTTAATTCTCTCAATGGCCCTAGGAGGCAGGTATTTTAAGGGGACCAAGGCACGGAGAAGTGACTGATTTACCAAAAGCCATTTAGCTAGCACAGGGGTTGGCAAACTGCTGCTCGCAAGCCACGTGTGGCTTTTTGGGTACGTACATGTGGCTCTGAAGTATAATTGAAAATGAAGATAAAACTATCCTAGTTTCATTTATAACATTTTTAAAGGATATTATTCACAAAATGGTGATTTCATTTGTTTTATGGCTCTCGGGTAATTTTTAAATTGTTGTGAGGGACAGGATTGGCTCTTCCGTCTCAAAAGTTTGCCAACCCCTGAGCTTGCAAGCCGCACACCTTCCAGCCTGCGTTTGATGTCTCCAAAGCCAATGCAAGGAAATACTCTCAAAAATTTATGCTATGTTCCCACCAACCTTCAAAAAGTAGGCGATGAGGGGCCAGCCCAGTGGCTCAGTTGGTTAAGAGTTGGCTTAAGAGCGCGAGCTCTGAGCAACAGGGCTGCCAGTTCGATTCCCACATGGGCCAGTGACGCTGCGCCCGAGCTGAGCTGCCACTGAGCTGCCAACAGGTGGCAGGATGGCTCAGCTGCTGAGAGCATGTGCCCCTAACAACAAGACTGCCTGTTCGATGGTGGGCTACACCCGCCCGCCACTAAGACTGAACTCAGCACCTTGAGCTGAGCTGCCGCCCTGATGGCTCAGTGGATAGAGCGTGCGCTCTTAATAACAAGGCTGCCGGTTCGACTCCCTCATGGGATCATGGCTACGCCCACCCACAACTAAGATTGTAACACAGCACCTTGAGCTTAGAGGCCATGAGCTGCTGGCGGGCAGCCAGATGGCGACTGGCACCCTCCACAACTAAGATTGAAGAACAACAACTTGGCTGGTCCCCTTCCTCAATTCCCCAACACTGTTCCCCTCCCCCCAATTCCCCAATTAAAGAAAAAAACCAAGAGAGCGAGTCCATTTTTCTGTCAAAGGCACATTTAGCCAGGGCTGGGTCTGAAGTTACCCAGTTATGGCAAGACAGTGTGACCCTGACAGCAGCCATACAGATTTGAATACACTTTCATGACTTCTCATTGACTAGTGCAGGGGTTGGCAAACTTTTGAGACGGAAGAGCCAATCCTGTCCCTCACAACAATTTAAAAATTATTCGAGAGCCATAAAACAAATGAATCATCATTATGTGAATAATATCCTTTAAAATTTTTTATAAATGAAACTAGGATAGTTTTATTTTCATTTTCAGTTGTACTTCAGAGCCACATGTAGCTTGTGAGCCGCAGTTTGCCGACCCCTGGATAAGAGTCACTTCTGTGGTACCGCATGCATTTTTTCCCTCCTTACCAGAAAATGGTGTTTTGATCCAGAAAGGGCTTCAGCTCCTTCACAAAGACTCAGTGCCGTATGTGCCGGAAAGCTGGTTTCCACCTCCTGTTCTCTGGCAGCACCTGTGGGTCTCTGGTGTGCTGTTGGAAGGATTCTAATCCCCCGGGAGGAGGTTTGTGGTTTTTCTGGAATACCTGTGGCTGAAGTTAAAGGGACAGCAACTTAAAAGGCACAACTGGGAAGGGAGCAACCCCCTCTTGTGGCTCAGTGCCGGACAGTGGCTAAGCCCCAGCGCTCAGTGGATTATTCTTGTCCACGGAGATGATGATACCATGAGCCATACTGTTCAAATAGCCTGTTCTCAGAGCCTCTCGACATGATTATTGAGGAGCCCAGAATGTTGGCACGCTCGATTATTACGGCACAGCTGGACCTGACCTGGCAAATGTGCCAAAGGGCCACTGAACATCATAGCTGAGCTCTCAGCTCATTGATGAGAAGAGATTACATGAAGTCCTTCCAAGCCCTGTGAGGCATCTGAACTTTGTCTCATTTGAAAGTCGTTTTGCGCCAGTGTCACTGAGTAGTTTAAACATGAACTTCACTTGCCCGTGGTCTTGTGCATGTCAGCTGTTGGCAACGGGAGCTGAGTTTCGTGGCTGAGCGTTGCTTGTTGGGGACAGTGATGGTGGCAGTGTCAGACAGTGGCACTTTTCACCTTAAGAGTTTGGTACCTCACATGATACCCAGACAAGAATATCTCTCATGGGCTCAGACATGATGAGGGCTGAAATAAATGAAGTCCAAGGCTAAGCCCAGTGTGATAGACTCAATGAAGGCCCCTCAAAGATATCCACATTCTAACCCCCAGCACCGGTGGATGTGTGACCTTATGTGGCAAAAGGGGCTTTGCAGGTATGAGTACACTATGGATCTTGAGATGGGGAGACGATCCTCTATTATCTGGGTGGGCCCGATGTCATCACAAGGGTCCGTGTCAGAGGAGGGCAGCACTGGCACAGCACCTGGTAGATAGCACAGACCCGACCAATGGTGGTTGTGCCCCCCACCCCTGCACATTCTGCCCCCCTTAAAGGGGCTCAGAAACAGTAGAACTCACTGCGGGGTGAGCTGCTGGGGGTGCCTCTTGGAGGAGACGAAACTTGAATTGGGCTTCGGAGAGGGGCAAGACCATGAGCGCTGGAAAAGAGAGCTGCTAGACATCTCAGAAAGGACCACAAGATGGAGAAGGTCCTGTCAGGGATGATATTAGAAAAGTCTCTAGAGCAAACCTCTGTGTTGGGGAATAGTGGGTGATAAAGTCGAAAAGACAGGCTACGGAGGACCTCAGCTGCCCAGGCAAAGAAGTTTTGACTTTATTCTGTGGTATGGAGCTTTTGATCAATAATGGCAACAGCAGCAATTTATTTTTAATTTGTTTCTCATCTATCTGAACAGAACATATACAAGAGGAAACTGAATGAAATGAAAATCAATAGGTTAGGAGAAAGACACTATACACACTTTTATATGTACTCTTGAGCTAGACTGGACCTGATGATGCAAGGTTGAGGATGGGCCGAAATGACAACGCAGCCAGGGCTAAAGTTACTTTCACTTTGTTTTGCTACAGAACCAAGAAACACGTGATACAAAGAATATACCAAGATCAAGGATGTGTGGAGCAGCAAAGGTAAGGGACGATGAAGTGATGGAGAGCTGACGCTCTCAGGGTCAAGGGCAGTGGTGTGCTGGGAAATGGTAAACAACTGGCCTTCTGGGGGAAAAAAA